CGTTAGGTCCTCATAAGCTATTATATCGAGGTACTCTTGGACCCCCATTAGTTAATATTGAGAGGTACCCCTGAGACCTATGGAAGGAGGCGTTGGGTTTTGGAGTCGCGGTTTTGTCCCTTATTGTGCGTGTGAAACATGGTGATGTTCGCGCGGATTTGAGGTCTTCGATGGTGCTCTACAAATCGTCCCGAACAGCATGGTGTTTCGTTCTTACGATAGTGTCGAAAGTTATTATCCAAAATCTGCTACTATATTCTCCCCTATTGGGAGCGTTTCTCACCCTTCACTATAGTTCGGAAGAAACACCGTCTTGTTCGAGACGATTTGTAGAGCACCAGCGGAAACCTCAAATCCGCGTGAACACCACCATGTTTCACACGGACAATAAGGGCGAAAATCGCAACCCACAAACCCATCGCTCCGGCTCTCCACCGATTTGGGCCTTTCTCGTTCTCCACTATATTTCGGAAGGAACACCATCCAAATACAGAGTTTTGAGGGCCTGAGCATCCTTGCAAGAAAAGGTAGATGAGAGCCCAGTCTACTAGAACTGGTGCATCCCTAGATGCATCGAAGATATAGATATACAGCTTAAAACAAATCTGTACGAAGATCAAGGTTTATAATACAAAAAAGATCTTATGAAGAATGATGTCGTGCTTATAAAATAATAACAGACGGAAAGTAGAGATTTATTATTCTTCACCTGAATTTTTACAGTCTTCATAAGAGAAAATCTGAAAATATTGTCTTGGAAGTAAACGATTTTGTATGTTTTTTCATTCATCAAATCTTCATATTTACCGATTACAGGACACAATTCTCTTGCACTTAAAGTTTCTATCATCCGAGTGAGGGTGTGAGGGTGTGAGTGTCGATATTGAATATAATACCAACACCCACACCCTCACTTCACCTGATCCTAATTTATTTATTAGGTTTTTTAGAGAGAAAAGTGAACAACAATCAAACACGAACATGTCTCTTCTTATTCTTCCTTTGGAGTTAATTTACCATGTATTTGATTATTGTGATGCTAAAACAATTCTGTTTTCAGTTGGTTCTGTTTGCAAAAGACTAAATGAGATTGTCAAAACATATAATCGATTCAATCTCGATTTCAATGTAAAATACTCTGATTATATGAAACAAATATCTCATATTATTCAACCAGAAAATGTTTCTTCATTGAATCTTTGGAACAATTATTTACAAGTCTATCGAATTGACTCGTTTATTTTGTTATTTAATATTGATCAATTTATTAGACTTCGTTCGTTAACACTATGTCGAATCACAGAGAATGCGTCAAATATATTCTAAAACATAGCAATAAGAATCATTTGACTTCACTTTCGATTCAAACATATCGGACAGAGAATGCAAAAATGTGGAGTGTTGTTACATCAGCTCTTCGCCAATGTAATCTTCAAAAGTTATCTATGAATAGCACAGATTATAAGAGAGAATATATAATATGGCCAGATCAATGGAATCTGGTTTATTTAGCAATTCAAGATTGTACGTATGATGAATATCTGAACATTCTTCGTGATTTACCCAATTTACGAACATTGGTCATGCGACAATGCATTTTTGAAAATGTGTATAATAAGCTATCGTTGTCATCCACATCTCCATCTCATTCTTTCTTAATATCTATGACCATCACCGATTATTCTATCTCACTAAACGACTTTGCACTCATGCTGCTAGCAACACCTTCACTGAAACATCTGAAATTAATTTCTTCCAGAAAAACGTTTGATTATATACTTGATGGCTCTATTTGGCATGACTTCATTAAGAGCAAGCTGCCTGTATTAGTTCGATTCGAATTTTTCTTCTCATACAAATATTACGGAGAACAACAGTATTCTTCTCTGGAATCAATCATGATTCCATTTCGAACACCGTTTTATCTTCAAGATAAACACTCCTTTGTTACTTGCACTTATGTTCCAAAATACCGTGCGATTTGGCTATATACGACACCATTATGTGTTGATGATGACGAAAAGGATCCGATAAGATGTGAAGTATCATGGAATGACGAGATCTGTCGCCTTACTCAACGATCAATTAATGAAATAAATGATACCACTGCACACACGGTATGTCCAAGAATACTTCCTACATCTAAAATGATAGTTTAAACCGGAGGATAACACAATACCTGTTTATACAGACACCATTGATTGCAATTGATTTTGGTGGATTTGGCATCAGTGATCAAGGAATACGACATTTTGCTGATGCTCTGCGTCATAACACGGTAAATCGACATCATTTTCTTTTATATCTTTCGCATCTAGTTCTATAAATATATAGACAATCATTTCACTAGATTTATCCGACAATGGTATACAAGACCAAGGAGTAGAACATCTTGCTGCTGCTTTACTACATAACAAAGTAATTCGTCGTCTTCCTCGTTTTTCTTTCTACACATGCCATCTATATTTTTTCTCTGCAGACAATCACGACATTGAATCTTGTTCGCAACGGTATTGGAGATCGAGGAGCACGATATCTTGCAAACGTTCTGCGAAACCACCAGGTAATTTTTATTTCGTATGCTTTTTGCTCTCTCGTACACACGTTTCACATAGACATTGATTTCACTAAATATCATTCGCAACAAAATTACCGACAACGGAGCAGGATATCTTGCAAACGCTCTGCAATATAATGAGGTAGTTCTTTTTTCTATGTATGTAGCTTTGATGTTATTACCTACTCATACAGA